AACTAAAATAAATGACAAGAAGAAGAAACTTATATCATTACATAGAACAAACAAAATGTCGTTTCGCCCGTGCTTTCTCACTGTCAGTTTTCAAAAATCGACTTGCTTCGATATTCAAAAATCAAGCTTATGATATTTCGCGTGGAATCGTCATGATAAAAAATTAAAGATGTACTGATCTTCAAAATGGTAAAAACAACCTTGTATTTAGTGTAAGTATATTGAAACACTCAATCGATTTCGAGGGCAGCTAAAGGTCCCTCCTCATCAGGAGAAAGAAATACTAAAATACCTAGGAAGAAGAAAATAAGGGGAAGGAGTTTCAGAAACACGTGGTCCTTATCAGAACTGCACGTGGTTAAAACCGGATTTTTAATCAGAGTTACACGCGCCTTTCAACATGCAACCCAAGGCCATCAAAAATATACATCATGAAAAAATCAAATTTCCAGGGTGATTATAATTAAAAAGTTTCAAAACGCTATAAAAAAAGAACCACTGATGAAAATGATGTGAAATTTGAAAGGAATGTTATTGAAGAAGGCGGAAAGCGTATGGCAGAAGAAAAAATTTAGTTTCAAAAGTTAGCAACAGATGGCGCTGTAAGCGGCAGAATCACGACGAGAGAAACGAGAAATGATTCGTAAAACAATGGCTAAGGTGGAAGTTACACATTAAAACGCATTGACAAATTAGAATTGTTGAATAATTTTATTTGCATGACTGTACATATCACATCGAAAGGGACAAATCGGTTTCAAGAGTTTTGCGGCGACATACCGCATAAGAACCATTCATCAAAGAAGTTCGGAACTGTCGCGAGACTGGCGCAAAACATGTTCAATATGGTCCACCGTTGTGTGCAACAAGTTGAAAGCGACAAACAGCATGTTCCACAACGGATCGCAGTGTCTCCGGGGGGTGATGTTCAGAATGTGTTGCGAAATGCGTGCCTTTAATTCCGCTAAATTTGCAATTGGAGCACGGAAACACAACATCCTTCAGATATCCCCACAGCCAGAAATCACACGGAGTAAGATCAGGCGATCGGGACGGCCAGGCTGTAGGGAAATGACGGCTGATAATTCGAGCATTTCCGAAATGGCGCCTCAGCAGCTGCTTCACGGGATGTGCAATGTGCGGAGGAGCGCCATCTTGCATAAAAATGATTTCATCCACACATCCACGCTGTTGCAGAGCTGGAATCACGTGGTTGCGCAAAAGAGACGCATACCTCTGACCAGTGACGGTTGCGGTAACAGGACCGGAAGCACCCGTCTCTGCTCGAAAAAATATGGTTGTAGGATGAATGATGCCGTAAAGCCACACCATACCGTGACCTTTTCAGGATGAAGTGGTACGGGGTGCGTTGCCAGTGGATTTTCTGTTGCCCATATTCGACAATTCTGGGTATTCACGTATCCTGTCAGATGGAAATGGGCTTCATCTGTCCACAAAATTTTCCACGGCCATTCATTATCCACTTCCATGCGAGCCAGGAATTCTAACGCAAACGTCTCCCTAGCTGTCAGGTCAGACGGAAGCAACTCCTGCACATGGCCAATTTTGTACGGATAGCATTGCAGGATGTTTCGTACAATTTTCAGCACCGTGCTCGTAGGCCTGTCCAATGTTCGGGCAATTCCTCGTGCACTGCACGGTTGCACACCACCGGCCGACCCCTCCTGTAATGCTGTGGCCACTTCTTCAACTACCGTCGAATGCACTCGTTTTCTCCCTCTACCAGATTGCACATCAAACGAACCTGTCGTTTCGAATTTTTGCATCATTTTCTTTAGACCTACGACACTCATTGGACCAACGCCTTCTTTTATACCCTTCAGTGTCCTGAATTTTTGCAGAGCTACTCTTGCACAATCATCATTCTTGTAATACAGCTTTACCAGCAGAGCGCGGTCCTGCAGTGAAACACCCATGGCGAACGTCTGAGACGCGAAATGAGGAACAGCCTGGTACCTGGACGGCTTTATAACACTGAAATTTAACTAACATTTTAATTTGTCTTCTTCCGCTTGCAGCGCCATCTGTTGCTAACTTTTGAAACTAAATTTTTTCTTCTGCCATACGCTTTCCGCCTTCTTCAATAACATTCCTTTCAAATTTGACGTCATTTTCATGAGTGGTTCTTTTTTTATAGCGTTTTGAAACTTAAACTTTAATTATAATCACCCGAACCTGAAAATCTCGATGATACGTGATTGCCACATTATCTTCTATGTACTGAAATTATCAGTTTGAAATCGTAACTAAAATAAATGACAAGAAGAAGAAACTTATATCATTACATAGAACAAACAAAATGTCGTTTCGCCCGTGCTTTCTCACTGTCAATTTTCAAAAATCGAGATGCTAAAAGAATTTGGAATTCCAATATCCATTTTATTATGCTCATGGGAAATCGTTATCGTCTGGTTTTCGCTGCAGTTTTGCAACAAAATTTTAAATTTGGATATATAAGGACTTTTTTTTTTATGTTTTTAACACATACAATCTCCCCGTGAATCACAGATGTTATAGCACAGGGTTTGAGAAAGTAAGTTAAATGGACATCAGATATTACTTGCATAAATAACACGAAATATTGCGAAAAAGATAAGTTCCCTAGCCGAAGTCACGCCGAACATTTTCAGATCGTTCTGCAAGCATAATTTAGGGCCATCAAAATATACAGCATGAAAAAAATCAAATGTTCCACACATTGAAGTACTTTTTTGAACATTCACATAAATTATTTGATCTGAGATTGAAACGAAACATGCAAATTTGCCATGACTAGATAAAAAAAGAAATACTTTAAGGGGGCTCATACACCTTAAACCCCTTGAAATCCTTCGAATATGTGACTGTTGCAAGAACTTATATATTTTATTTATTTTAAAATCAATTACTTCCAACTTTTTACAGCTGACTACATAAAATAGCTGCTTTGGAAACTAGTAACCAGAAAGTTTGTGTTGCCACAGATGTTGTTGTAATTTAATCCACTTTGTGACAAAAGTTTTCGTCACGTTTCCACCTTGCGCGCACGATATTTTCAAAATGGCTAATGGTACATACTAGAAATTGGATGGAATTCTTTACATGAGCCGTATTTTTAAAACTGAACCTAAAATCTGATGAATATTTTAATATTCAAAAATTTATGGACGAAAACATTACAGATTTTTTTATAAAATACATTTTATAAACCCGACTCCAAATAAAATAAAAATTTAACATTAAATTCTTAGAATTTTTGGTTCATAGTCGTTTCCAAATGTTATGAAAGCTATATATTAAATATGGAATTAAATTATGCAACAGAATGTTTTAAACTGTGCGCGCAAGTTGGAAACATGACGAAAATTTTTGTCAAAAAGCGGATTAAATTATAAAAATATTTGTGGCAACACAAACTTTCTGGTCACTATTTCAGAAAGCAGCTGTATTTTGTAGTCAGCTGTAAAACGTTGGAAGTAATTGCTTTTACAATAAATAAGTTATCCCAATTCTTACAATAGTCACATATTTAAAGATCTTATGGGTTTTAAGGTGTACGAGTCCCCTTAAAATTAGTAGACAGGAAAGACTCTGAATGCAATGTATGGTAAATAGAAGGAAATAATTTTTTGGTATCCTCAGCATTACAAGATGAAATACATTCAACATTCCAATAAACTCAGAAGCCTCTTATACTGGAAGGAATTCAAATAGCTTTTTGGAATGCTAATGTTGACATCTGTGGTTAATATTAAGGCATCTTTAGGTAAGAAATCGACTTACCTTTCATTTTCACAGAATCCACGATAAGCACGCATGAATCCATGATAAAACGGATTATCAATTCCCCTATTTCTTATCGAACTGACAGTTAATAGAGTATCCAATATTAATTTGTCACTCCTGGTAATAGGGGAAAGAGAAGGGGAAGAGAAGAAAGAGAATTAGAACATATAAGGTACATCGAGGATGCTCTCCCATTATCCTTGATCGATTTATAAGGCCTTTGCAGATTCAAATTATCTTAGATACTGCGAAATTTATCATTTATATTCAAGTTGTCCAAATTACCATGTTTTATCGGCTACCTGGCAAAGGGACAGTGCCCACGTCCACTGTCACTTATTACTTATCACTTATTCCCTTTTACAAAGAGAAAATTACCAAATAAGAAGTATTTTGTATAATTTTTTAAAATTTCTTATACATATGCAAATAGTTTTTAATTAAAGACACTCTTACTTATGTATACAGTTTGATAATGATGAAAACATTTTTATGTCTCAACGTGGGAAACTCTTTAGGGTGAAACAAAGTAATATTTATATCACAGAAAGTGGCTGAAAATTTATGTTGCCTTCTAGAAAAAAATCTGATGCGAGCACCAAATGACTTCCATGTACGCAATATTAAATTATGCCCATTTTTCTTGCATTTCATTTAAACTTATTGGATTGAATTAAATCTACTTTGCCGATATCGCATAAACCACAATAAAATAAATGCACTCTTTAAAATTCACTCTGTTTGTTTACCATAGCGACACTCTGGCCCTAGGTTCTAAGGCTTATTAGATCCACTATCATGTAGGTTCAAGTTTCAAAAGTTCTTTTGATTACTTTAAAGCAATGTTGCTGCTTATTCACTTTTCATACAACTACTCAACTTTCAACGAAAGCGATAAAGTGGTTTATTATTCTACTTACTTGCTTGAATACTTAACGAAACTCAGAAGTCAGAAAAATGCACTATATTAATTTGTTCGTAATCTAATTATATTTTAAATATTACTTAAAAATGAAAATGGTAATGTAGTAGTTTAAAATGTGATAATAAATACTACACATATTAAATTTTCATTAAATTTGAAGTATTAATTAACAGGAAAAAAACTTGGTTTCTAAATTAATTATTGCGTTCTAAAAAATAATAGCAATAACAAAAATCTTATATGAATTTTCCAGCATTATTTTCGAATTATTAAGAATAGCAAAAGTTACTTAAAAATTGTTCTCTTTCTTCATCTCATTCGCTGAAATATTTTCTCTTTTAAAGTCAAGACTGCATCTTCTTCGGATAATTTTTTTTTCTGTCCGTCTACTATGGATAAGAAAATCGACCCTTAAAAGTTTCCTTAAGCAATGAATAATCTTTCTGAAGTAATAGTTAAGTGCTTACCAAATTAAGCTTAATTAGATAAGATAAATAAAAAATAGTTATGCATAATTTACGCAATAAATATGACAACCTAAGCTTAATATTGGCTTTTACATGAAAAAGTATTCCTCCATAAATTATATTAATCTTGTTCTTAAATAACTGAATTAGTCGGTCAGCGAACTATCTACGTTAATGTAAACAGATGCCATTAAAATAAATTTAACCCTGTATATGAAAGTCGTGATTTAAATAATAATTTACTAACACTTTCCTCTTAGATAGTTAGCTCAGTTATCCTTAGACCAAGGAAAAAGCTTTTGTATTTAATTTCTAAATATTTTTAGTCCAAAGGGGCAATTTGCCCAGAAGGACTATTGATTTCGTTTTGCATTTTGCGACGATTCACGATAAGAGTTTTTCACTTTTCAAATTGTTGCCACCAAATATTATCGCCTCGTATCCTATTTAAAGAAATTAAATAATGAAGAATCTGCATGAATGAATGTATGTTTCTCGCATTGTGATAAAACAACGGTACTTACAGCTATCAAAATTTGAATAACGTAATCGTCCATAGAATATGGTCATGCTGAAGGCTTAATTTGAAATTTGAAATTTGAAATTTGTTTTATTATCGATTTTATATTTTGTAAACCTTTAACGAATATTTGATTAACAAACTCAAAGATTTCAAAGCGAGCAATGGCAACACTGTACGGAAAATGAAACATTTTTTTTCTTAATAAAAAAGTAACTTCTCGTTATAAATATCTTTAAACTGCATCATTTCTTAATTGATCTATTGTCATTGATTCTTTGCGCTAAAGGCGCAAATAATTTGCTGTTGCTGCTTCTTACAGTAACAACTTTAGCAGATTAAATAATAGGTAATAAAGGTAAAACAAACCGAAAGTAGCACTGTAAACGAAAACGCAAGCCATTTTCAACTAAAATTTTATCTTGGACCAGCTGCACTCGCTCTCTGCCTCTCTTGCTAGCTAGAGAATAACTGGACTTCCTGCTGCTGCTCCTTTTTTTCCCCAAAAATGTAAAAAGTTCTAGACTAGGCGTGTTTACTGCGTCACCTGTGGCTATAACGTTTGGCTATGCAACCCTTTGCCAAACTTATACCTGTGATTACAGAACGTATACCTGCGGCTATACAACTTTTATCTATGAAAATAAAGTAGTATTTAAGGGGACTCATACACCTTAAAACCCATAAGATCTTCGAATAGGTGACTGTTGCAAGAATTGGGATAACATATTTATTTTAAAAGCAATTACTACCAACGTTTTACAGCTGATTACATAATATAGCTGCTTTCTGAAATAGTCATCAGAAAGTTTGTGTTGCCACAAATATTTTTATAATTTAATCCGCTTTGTGACAACATTTTTCGTCATGTTTCCACCTTGCGCGCACAGTTTAAAATATTCTGTTGCGTAATTTAATTCCATATTTAATATATAGCTTTTATAACATTTGGAAACTACTGTGAACCTAAAATTCTAAAAATTTCTTGTTAAATTTTTATTTTATTTGGAGTTGAGGTTATAAAATGTATTTTATTAAAAAAAATTTTAATGTTTTCGTCCATAAAATTTTTCAGTATTAAGATATTTATCATACTTTTGGTTCAGTTAGAAAATAGTGCCCATATAAAGAATTCCATCCAATTTCCAGTATGTACCGTTAGTCATTTTTAAAATATCGTGCGCGCAAGGTGGAAACATGGCGAAATATTTTGTCACAAAAAGGATTAAATTACAAAAATATTTGTGGCAACACACACTTTCTGATTACTAGTTTCCAAAGCAGCTATATTATGTAGTCAGTTGTAAAAGGTTGGAAGTAAGTGCTTTTAAAATAAATAAAATATCCCAATTCTTGCAACAGTCACATATTTGAAGATCATGAGGGGTTTAAGGTGTATGAGCCCCCTTAAAAAGCGCCGAGCTCTGTCACTCCCATGTTCTTTCTTCTGCGTCACCAATTTCTAATTCCTATACATCCCCCTCTCCCTCCCCTCCATGTATATGCATGTAAATAAAAATTCTGAAATTTCAAAATTAAGTTTATAAATTATTAATTATTAAAGTGAAGTAGTAAGTTGCGAAATTAATTTAATTATCAGGAAATAATAATTAAATCAAAATAGGTGGTTAACAGTCTAACAGGAAAAACAACTCATTGAAAAACTCACAGAGGCAAAACAGCTCACTTAAAAACTCACAAAGGCAAAACAACTCATTAAAAAACTCACAGAGGCAAAACAACTCATTTAAAAACTCACAAAGGCAAAACAACTCATTTAAAAACTCACAAAGGCAAAACAACGCATTAAAAAACTCACAGAGGCAAAACAACTCATTTAAAAAACTCACAAAGGCAAAACAACTCATTTAAAAACTCACAAAGGCAAAACAACTCATTTAAAAACTCACAGAGGCAAAACGACTCATTTAAAAACTCGCAAAGGCAAAAAAAAAACTCATTTAAAAACTCACAAAGGCAAAACAACTCATTAAAAAACTCACAAAGGCAAAACACTCATTTAAAAACTCACAAAGGCAAAACCCTCATTTAAAAACTCACAAAGGCAAAACAACTCATTAAAAAACTCACAGAGGCAAAACAACTCATTTAAAAACTCACAAAGGCAGAACAACTCATTAAAAAATAACATAATGAAATAAATAGTTGGAAATTATTTGGGCGTTTTCAAGAAGCAGGCGAAGAATTTTCAATAGAACCGGCTTTCTGAAGTATATCTAGATGATGATTATAAATTCATGAAATAATTCAAGAGAACGTGCTAAATATAATATAAATTAAAGAGATTTGAAATAAAAATTCAAGGTCATTGAAACGTTTTTACTGATAAAGAATTACATTAATAAATGTTTAAATAAATAATTTATAACATAAAAAATTATAAATCAGAAAAATAATTAAAAAAAAAAATCTGAAATGTTTCAGATTTTAAATTACGTCCAAAGGGACGTTTTTTAACATTTTGTGTGTTACCTTTATTAAATATCTTTATTAAATATCATGTTCCTCGCACTTAAACAATAAGATCCAGTGCAACAGCAATATCGCAAAATAGTTTTAAAACGAGCATATCTTTAGAATTTCCGATACAGAGACTCACGCGCTGGAGATAAAAATGTTTTTTCTGCACAACGTTGCCATTGCTCGCTTTGAAATCCTTGAGTTTGTTAATCAAAAATTCGTCAAAGTTTTAAAAAATAGGAAATCGATCATAAAACAAATTTCAAATTTCAAATTTGGTCTTCCACATGCTCATTCGTTCGTTGGAGGATTACGTTATTCAAAATTCGATGACTCTATGTACCGTTGTTTTATCACAATACGAGAAATATACATACATTTATGCAGATTTTTCATTATTTAATTTCTTCAAATATAATGCAGGACTCTAACATTTTGTGGCAACAGTTTGAAAAGTGAACCGACATTTATGAGTCCGACGCAAAATGCCAAAACGAAACTAATAGTCCTTCGGGATTCAAATCCCTTTGGACTAATGATCAAAATACAAACTGATCCGATATAACTAAATAAACAACACTCTAAAAATAAACAGTATGGAATAAGAATTAGCAAAATTAAAAACCCGAAATAATAAAAATAATGGTCTAAAATAAACATTTCAAATAAATGTTGAAGCTAAGAAAAGAGTAAAAGTAAATATATTTTAAAGTTAAAATTTTAAGGAAACGAAACCACTTTATTTTGGAACGTAATTTACTTAAAATGTAATTAAATAAGAAGCTTTAACAATAATTTACGCACAAATAAGGAGTTTTCAGAGTGGGGGAAAAAAGGAGAAACCGTATACAAAGGAATGGAAAGCTTGTAGCCCAAACTGAGAAATATTTTGAATTGTGATATGTTTGTCATTAGGGAAAAGAATAAATTAAATACTAACCTGATTAAATGAAATCAATTAAAAATAACTTGAATGGAATAATAAAAGCCGAATAAAGTTATTCCGAAAACTCATGATGAATGCTTAATGATATTTCCAAGAATGCTGTTATGAAGAGTTGAATTGAGTTGAGTAGTTTGATAAAACGGAAATTAAAAGAAAGAAAAGAACTGAGTTTTATAGATGTATCCAGTAAAATTGAAAAATAACTATGTTGGAGGACTCGTAAACACAGTCATTAAGTTCTGAAATTTAATTACGGAACTAAAGTGATATAAAAAAAATTAAATATTTTAAATAGGGAAAATAAATTTAGAATAATAAACAGTTAACGAAAAAACGGAAATTAAAAATTAAAGAAAATTAAATTAAAAAAAAATGAATGAGAAAAATAATAAAATAATAATAAAAAGAAAAGAAAATCTGAAAGGTGTCAGATTTTAAATCGTGTCCAAAGGGGCGTTTTTTTAACATTTCGTCTGTTAGCTTTATTTACTGAATATCACGTTCCTCGGCTTTAAATAATAAAATTCAGTTCAAGAGCAATATCGCAAAACAATTCTAAATTGAGCATATCTTTAGAATTTCCGATACGAGTCTCGCCCACTGGAGATAAAAATGACTTTTCTGTAGAATGTTGCCATGAATCCCTTTAAAATCTTTGAGTTTGTTAATCAAAAATTCGTTAAAGTTTTACAAAATAGGAAATCGATCATAATACAAATTCCAAATTTCAAACTTGGTCTTCCACATGCCCATATTCGTAGGAGGATTATGTCATTCAAAATTCGATGGCTCTATGTACCGTTGTTTTATCACAATGCGAGAAATAGACATACATTTATGCAGATTCTTCATAATTTAATTTCTTCAAAATATAATGCAGCACTGTAACATTTGGTGGCAACAGTTTGAAAAGTGAAAGAGACATTTGTAATGAACCAGCGCAAAACCGCAAAACGAAAGCAATAGTCCTTCAGGGACGAAACCCCTTTGGACTAATAATTTGTAAACTGGGAAATATAAATTATTTTTTTTTTACAAATTTAATTTAATATAAGCATTTTAAGTGTGTAAAGAAAAGAATTTGAAAATGAGGCGTAAAGATTTTAATAAATTCTCTGATTGTATATATAAAAAGAGAATAATGGATTTTATTAATTTATACATAAGTAATATGTAGCTATTTGGCGTATAACAGAACTAGAATATATTTGTTAGAAACAGAGATAGAAGTCCTACTTCCGTATGTACATGAATATTTACAGTTGTTATGCATCCAGTAAATACTTACAAATTTGGTTTAGGTATCTCCTTGCGAAAGTAACAATAAAAATTATAAGGACTTAATGTATAATATTCGGGAAAGTAATTTAACGAAAATTAATGTAGATTTCAGATACTGAATTTCTTGATTAATATCGTTAGTAACATTGTTACATATTATAGTAGAGAGGTTCAATCGAACCATCCTTAATAACCTCTCATTAGTGGTTTCCAGAAACCAGCAGGACTGGGACAACAAATTATCGCTGTTTTTACTGGCTTACCGCAGTGCTGTCCACGAGACTACCGGCTATTCTCCATCACAGATGCTCTTCGGTCGTGACCTTCGTCTGCCTTGTGATCTATTGTTTGGCCGCCCTCCGGATGCTCCTTCATCGTCTGAGGAATATATTCAAGATCTCCAGGCCCGGTTTGAAGTGATGCACAACTTTGCACGAGAGCGAGTCAACTTAGCGACGGAGAAGATGAAGACCCGATACGACACAAGAGCTACTGAACATCAATTCCACGAAGGAGACAAGGTGTGGTTGTGGAATCCGACTCGACGGAAAGGACTTTGTCCGAAATTACAGTCACCTTGGGATGGCCCGTACATAGTTCTAAACAGGCTGAATGACGTCGTGGTTCGGATTCGTAAGTCTTCGAACTCTAAACGTAAAGTCGTTCATTACGACAGGTTAGCTCATTACTATGGCCATAGTACGTAATTTTCAAATAATTGTAAATAGCCTAAGACCATGGTCCTTTTTGTTTTTAAATGTGTATTTTGTTTGATTTGTATTGTTACGAATTTGGTATTTAAAAAGCTAATGTTAGTTCAATTACAAATTAAATGATTTTATTTCTCGCGCAGTGACGAATATTAAAAGAAAGCTAAGCCGTAAAATTGAATTACAAGAGCGCGTGCATTAAATAAATAAATATCTCTTTTTGATTTCGAGAAAGTACTGGAAAATTCTAGCGCGTGATTTTAAAATCTTATAAAAGGAGGAAAACATCTCAGTTTGTAGTAGTTGCTTAGTTTGTTGTTGTTTAGAAAACTGCTCTTGTTGATTGTAGCGAATTCGCGGATTAGCGTTCTTTAGCTGTTTTTAATTGCGTTCTATTGGACATTTGAGTAGTTAAAAGATAACTACTGTGAGATATTGTAATACTGCATGATAATTTGAGAAAATTTAAGCATTTTTTTGTTGTGATAATAATAAATTTTTTTTTGTTCATTTTTCATCGGACTTGTGCATTCATTTCATAACGAACCCGTACGCACGCAACAGTATTTAGTATTTGATAACATTTGTTTTGTTTTATTTATTGCATTTATTGTTCATGTTGTTTATTATTGTAATGTAATGTTTATTATTGCATTTATGCCTTTAGTTGTAAGTTTGGCTTCCTGTCCAGGGATTGTACTGCCCGGGACGTGCAGTCCTTGGGAAGGGGGAGTGTTACGAATTTGGTATTTAAAAAGCTAATGTCAGTTCAATTACAAATTAAATGATTTTATTCCCCGTGCAGTGCAGCGAGCGAATATTAAGAGAAAGCTAAGCCGGAAAGTTAAAAATGCAAAAGCACGTGCATTTAATAAATAAATATCTCTTTTTGATTTCGAGAAATTACTAGAACATTCTCGTGTATTTAAAAAGCTTATATAAGCGGTGCGAAAAACCTCTCAATTCGTTTGTTAGTTATTTTATGAGTTTTTGTTTAGAAATCTGCTGTTGTTTACTGTAGCGAATTCGCGGACTGTCTTTCTCTATTTTGAATTAGTTCTATTGACGTTTTTAATAGTTTAAAAGATAACTACTGCGCGGTATTAGGATATTGTCGAATATCTAAAGAAATTTAAGGCTTTTGTTTTATTTGCTGTGATAATAATAAATTTGATTTATTTTTCATTGGACTTGTGCATTCCATTCATAACGAACCCATACGCACGCAACAATGTTTGGTGGCAGCGGTGGGATTTGAATGCCAATAACAAGAGCGATAGAAGAAGAATTAAGGCAGTTCATATCAGCCTTTGCCTCGTTTAAAGAAGAAATGAAACATCTGACTAAACATCTAAAAACTAATGCTTTTTTTACTGAAACGAAATCATTAATTCCCGAAATAAAAAAATTTTTGCTTGGTTGTGTCCAAAATTTCGTTCAATGTTTTGAATTTCGATATATAAATAGATATTAAAAAGTGTTTAGTTTAATGAATATTTCTGTGAATCTCGAATGTATTACTAAATCGTTAAAGTTTAATAATATTTTAATATCCCGAATTTTTTTCTTTCCGAAAATATATGCAAACTTGGGTTTTATGTTTACTGAAACTATCATACGGTTAAAAAATATATTAAATATTTTTTTTACTTTTTTCCTATTCTGAGAATGCGAGTGGAGTAATAAAACTTACAGTTGCTTTTATGGAATGTCATTCTGTTTCTGATATTTTGACTGTTTAACTTTTGACTGTTTTTGAATCTAAATAATCCCTTAAATTAGAATAATTAATCTCTGTAATATGTCAGACAATATTCGTATGAAATTTCCAACGTTCTGCAAGGTAAATAACTCTTATAAATGTAATGGACACTTTCTGTGATCTGTTTCTTTTAAAATTAAATCTCATTTCCTTCACAGAAAAAGATTCCATTGGATAGGGCCTTGATGACTCCTAGTGGGATGGTGTAACGACTCTTTGTTTTGTGAAAGCTATCAGTTCTTAATCCAGGAGAGTGCTTTTCCTATTAATTCCATCACCGGGCTTTGAATAATTGAACGTTAAGGCCTGCGAAACGAAACGGGCCTTTCCCGCGCCTTCTGTAATGATATTATCTCCTTGATAGAGTATGATGAGACTCAGGATCTGAGAAAATCGACTTTGATGCAATTATCCGACTATCGACGGCGAAGAGTGTCGCCGCCGATGGGAAAAATCTGGAGAATTTGGGCTCGTTATTTATGGATTCGCGTCACATTTTAAGTCGCTGCAAATTCTGACTTATGCTAAAGAGAGCAAGTGCTCTTGCAGAATAATACTCTATTACCCTCGCTGCTCTGCAATAACAATTCCTTGCCTTAAAATTATTCGAATGCTGCTTTTAAAACAGTGACTGCTGTCAGCATTTTATATCTTCAGTCATACAGAAGAAATAAGCGTGTAAACCTCCAAGCGGCAAGGCCGTATATACGGCCTAGAATATTTTTTGCGATATCTGTAAGAACGTATATATACGAGCATGAATCCTCTAAGCGGCAAGGCCGTATATATACGGACTAGAACATTTTTTTTATATCTGTAAGAACGTATATATACGTGCATATTAAAATTGTGTCAAAGAAATTAAGGCAATATATCAAAAGAAATCAAATCCAGGTATGAAATACCAGGAGAGTTTTTACATTACAATAAAACAAAAATGATTTGTTCTCATAGTAGTTTTGGGAAATTTGTGCTTTCTTAGCGAAACCCTGACCGCTCAGAGGGTTTTAAGATCTTCTTTCTGACCGTTATTTCTTTTCTAGCAGGCTCGTTTCTCGTTGTCTCTTTAAAGTTTGTTATAGATCCTCTGTTACTGGAAACGTGTACTTGTTTCAGCAGTGCATTTACTAAAACTGGAACGATACAGAGAAAATGGCTTAGCCTCTGCGCAAGGATGACACGCAAATTCGAGAATCGTTATAGATTTTCATAATCTATATAAGAATACAAAAATTACAATTTCCAAACCTTTCTTAAGTCATCCGTGGTGGACAAAAGAATTCACCATCAGTGGAAAGAGCTTGTAGAGTCATTAAGTTATTTCTGAAGCAGGGCCTTCGGCAGGACTCGAACCTGGTCCTCTTGAATACGCACCAAGTGTGTTACTACTCTTTCTAACAGAAATGACGAAAAAGTGCATATGCCATTTCCATGTAAACACTTTTTCTTGCAAAACTGGTGTACTTTTTATAGGGTACTTTTTATAGGGTACTTTTCCGTTTTGCCGGAGCAGGGGATAAGTCGCCAGTAATGGTACAACTGATGCCAAACAGAAAATCCTCGCTGGTAACCATTTACGCCTTACTTTCAATTAAGTGAGTTAGGATGCAATCACACCGCTCACCCGAAGGCGAAAATATAGGAAAGGCAAAGTCAAGGGTTAAATTCATCCATTCTGATGAGGTTGCACTATCGAAGTAAAGCACTGCGGTTTTACATAATTTCTGAGTAAGCTATTCGTGCGAATTGAAATAATTCTTGCATTTTAACTTGTTTTCCAAATTAAGATTCAACTTGAAATTAATGTAGATAATGACTGAGAGAATTAGATTTTTGTAGCGTAGTTTACGTGAGATGAGATCACTTGGGGTCACGTGATATGAAACGGCGAATCAGATGTTGCGCCATGAAAGCATAGTAAGTTCTTAAATAAATGTCTTTTTACAAATTTATTGTCATTATTTACTGGTTTTTTACAAAATTTTAAACGATATTAAAATGTTTATGCTTTCAAAATAAAAAAAAATCTTAGAACTAACATTTTTTATGTGTATATGTATGTTGTCGCCAATAAAGTCTGCTTGGCGAAATTTGCGCCGGCGAAACGGGACAGTACCAATATTAATTTCTCATAAAAAGTTGTCATAATAAGTTGAATTAATTTTGTCCTAACAGGTAAGCTAAATGTTTTACGTGCGTAGTGGCTACAAGCTCTAGCTACTCCCTAGACAAAAGACCCCTGATCCGAAAAAAAATTTATGGCCAAATAATGTTTAAGAAGGTTGAGAACATTATGTTATTATAAACATAACGTACATTATAGTACGTTATCACAGAAAATAGCATTTTAAGTATGCGCTCGTGAAAGGGTTAAAAATACATTTTGGTATCTTAGCCTTTACAATTAACCTACTAAATTTAAATATACTTACTTAGGTTTACCTTTTTAACTAAAGGTAAGGTACTTTAAGTCCGTTAACTAACATTTCTCGAAAAGTACATTTGACAAAGCAAACTAATGTATATTGTCGTTTCCTTGTGAAATATCTTAAAAAAATTAATGGATGTCGTGCATGTGAGAATGTCTTATATTCGAACGAAATGATAGTCATCAAGCTCAAGTTTTTTTTCAAGTACGAACTGAACACAAAACTGTTTTCATAACTGAGATATATTATAGCTCACTCTCATAGATAAATTTATATTGATTGGGATATACAAGATAAACTCTCGATAAACATTAGATAGAGCGGAGGAAATCATTTAACGCTGCTTAATAAATGACAGTTAGAACCCGCTCATGGTTTGCTATTGGTGGACAGTTAAGCCTACTTTTAAAGCACCACATCACAGGCAAATCCTCAGCACCTCTAAGCGGGAATTTCCCTGAACTAAATCACGCTATGCATTCAGTGAAATGAAGGCTGCCTCCTCTCCTGAAAGCCAAATTAATCTGCTTTTTAAACGTAGGAAACTATCTGGAGTCACGTCTCTGGATTAAGGGCAACGAAGCCATTTACAGTTGCGTTAATAGGGCCTGAGGGATGATTCTCGATGAGTACAGGGTCCAGTGTCACATGGCCCTTGATCGATAGAAGGCAATTTGATGGATAAACCCTCGTCGGCGGCGCCCCCTCTGCTCTTAATGTGCCTCCACTTGACATGGAAGAGGGTTAGACTTATTATTGATAGCTTTGTAAAACAGGCGAAAATACAGAAGCCAATCGGGTTAGGTGGTTTTCTGTTTATTGTTATTCAGGATCCGATGTCTTGGAGTAGTGCATTTTTAAAATTACCTGTCACCTGTGATGGAAATAATCAGCTGTTCAGGGAAATTCGATCACGGCAGAAGTTTGAGAGGTAATTGCCTTACTAACCGTGCAGAGAGATTGTGTGCTCGTTTTATTTTCGTTCACGTCGTCGTTAGCTAAATGGAAGAGCTTATGCTCGAATTTGAACGATAAAAGAATTGATATGGAACCTTCATTTTCTGCATTTACAAGTTCCACGCGTAAATAACTAGTTTATTGCCCGCTTTCATCATGGTGTAAATTATAAAAAGCTTTGTTTAAACTCAGCTGCATCTGGCTTAGACCTGAATATATTAATTACTAGATCACAGTTACGTTAAGTTTTCTTACAACCGCCTTGCATATGTCATCGTTAATGTATGAGATGCCAGCATTCTACAGAATGCCTGGAGGTTTTAGGCAAAGCATGAGATATGGGAATTATTATATACTTAATACACAATATATTATAAGCAATGCCTAAGGTATTGTATACACAAAACCATAGGAATTGTATATGATATGTAGGCATTTTATAGAATTACAAATGCGCTTTAGGCAAAGTGGGAAATAAAGATCATGGTATGCTATTATTTAAAAGACATTCATTCCTGAAAACTGCAAATATTATTTTGAAAAAAAGATAAAAAACTGTGATTAAAAACCTTTATTCTAAATCCGTAAAAAAATAAATAAATTAGTGAGATGATCTTGGTACATCATGATAAATTTGTTCTCTTTATCTGACTGGAAATTTATCAAATCAGTTCGACAAGCGGAATTAAATTCAGAAAAATCATAGGTTTTTTTAACTATAATGCCCCTTTTAATACTTTTTGTTTTTTTATGGCTTGTCTCACAAAGGTGGATGTACAGGTCAATACGATTCCGTGTAACATTTTTGTATTTGGTTTTTTAAAAAAAAACAAATACAAAAGTTCTTTCTGGCACGGCTTCCGTGTCCGACAGCCAAATGAATTTCATGAAGTGCGTGAAATAACTGACACTGTCTTTAACAGGACAAATTAGTTTAATTTTGTTTTTCACAAAAATCACATCATAGCGATTCCAGCAACCAATAGTCCCATTGTTCCTTCTTAGCAGTCATTTTAGCTTTTTACGTCATTTATTAACTTCTGGTAATAAATAGTTTCGGTTATTCGAAGGGAATTGCCGATGTATTTCACACTTTGCCGGTTTGTCATTTGGCATTCTATAAAGTAGTCACTGTGTGAAATGTTTATTCATTTCAAACACTGTCTAGCCACTCTATAAAATGCCTAGGCATTCTATAGGATGCAGGATTTTATACTTTGCCGGTAATAGATATATGTAAATTTATATAAAAAAAGTAAAATCCGAAAGCTTTCAAATTTTATATTAAGCCTAAAGACACGTTTTTTAACGTTTCGTGTGTTACTTTTATTTATTAAATATCATGTTCTTCGCACATAAACCGCATAAAATTCAATTCAACAGCAATATCACAGAATATTTAAAAGCAGCATATCTTTAGAATTTCCGATAGATGCAATAAATACAGCTATAGATGATATAATTAGTAAAAATAATGAATCTTCCTCGCTCGAGGTGAAAATGTTTTATTCCGTAAAGTGTTGCCATTGCTGGCTTTGAAATCCTTGAATTTGTTAATTAAAAATTTGTTAAAGTTTTACAAAATAGGAAATAGATAATAAAACTAATTCAAAATTCGGGTTTCCGGATGCCCACTTTCGGCTGGGGGATTATATTATTCAAAATTTGATGACTAGGTACTGCCGTTTTTTCACAACGCGAGAAATATACATACATTTATGCAGACTCTTTGTTGTTTAATTTCTTTAAATATAATACAGGGCGATAACATTTCGTGGTAACAATTTAAAAAGAGATTCGTTGTTTATAGCAAAACGCCACAAAATGCTGGTCACCACAAGGATTTGGCGATTGGGTCGTTTAATCCCCAGTTTTTCTTTAAAAGGGGAATGTGTATGAGGTACAAATGAGAGGAAAACGACCCGATCCACCTGGTCTAAAAACAGACTTTGATCGCCTCTAAACTCACCTCAAACGGCCCGACCAGTCTCTCAAACTATAAAGATGCACCGAATATATATAATTAAAATAACTGAGAAAAATCCAGTAAACCAGACACCGGCTCCGAGTAACTTAAAACCAAGCAAACTAAAAATAATACATTAAACATGGTTACGCAGCTAAAATAATTTTTCAAGTTGAATAGGTAGTACAAAAGGAATTTACAGTAAGACCCCGCTTAACGCGGGGGATACGTTCCATCAAAGTAGAGCGTAATGCGAAACAGCGCTAAACGAGGCTATCTTTACATGTAAATATTGGGGTTAGGGGAAGATGGCTAGGAAATTGGTTAGGTATTAAATTTAAAAAGTATGTTTTTTTAATAAAAATAAAACCAAACATTTATTTCTTAAAGCCCAAATTAATACCACATTATTATTTCTTGCAAAAATAAAAACAAAATATAAATAACAAAACGAATATTCTTAAAAAAAACAAATAAAATTCTCAGTCAGTCATATTTAGTTAGCCTTCCGCGTTTTCAGTGTTCTGCCTTTTTGTGACAAAAGCATCTAATGTTTGTTTGCCTTTTTTCTTTTGCGTTGTTCTCTTAAAAGTTCTTCATAAACGGATAGAGCATCTCTAACATCACACCTTACTTTTGAGCTCCTGTCAAAATTCGGATCATTTTCAATGAATTGATCCATTATTTCAGTTATGGTAGACAAACTCCTTTTTACAAACGCCATCGAAAGTTCTTTTTGCTCTTCTTCTGAATCACTGCTGTCAACATTTTTGTTTTCTTCTTGTTCAGTTAATTCCTTGAGCTCATCATTAGAAAGACTAGCCGCTGCGTCTTGAATTAATTCTTCGACATCTTCC